CCCCAAAACCCCAAAACCCCAAAACCCCATATTATCTCCAAAGAGTTGAAATAGGTGTAAATATAGCGATAAGCTGTTTGAATTAAATGATATTCAGCCCTATCTTTCACATCTAATCGTTCATCCAGCTTGGTTTACATTCCCCACTCATCATAAAGTATTTTTCAATCTCTTACATTTACCTCTACTTGGTCAAGGAGAGAGAAAGAGCCTTCTACTTGCTCAATTTGTTCAGGAGATATATCCATTGTGATATCTAGTGTTGTTAGATTTCTAGTAATATTTTTCATTGTAAATAGCTTTAGTAGCAGCTGGAACTCAGTATCGTCGAATTTCATAACATTTTGGGAAGAACTACATCATTTATGTAAGCTGATACTACAAATTTTATAGTTTGTAGCTGGATTCATGTAGATTTTTTGAAGCTCAAACCTACAACTGTAGAGTTTTATAGATTCTGTATCCTTCAAACGACTAAATAGAGTTCTAAATGGCCTAGTATAAAGAACAATATCCTTGAGAACCAATACTTTGATTCCAATATCAAATATTTTGCAAATAGATTGACATATCAAATTAATCGAGAAGACTCCTCTTTTGCTTGAATCAACTATTTGCACTCTTTTGAAACCAAAATGCTCTATTTTTGATATAAAGTTCTGTAAGTGCTTTTTTGATCCTTTTCTGCTAACCTTTAGCCACAAATTATTGCCATGATGTTCCCCTCTGTGAGTAATCTTCGGCATAGTCTTATGAATACAATTAACATGATCTAAATTAAGCTGTAAAATTACCATAAAAGAAGGTAAACCCGTCTAGCCCCTCCAGATATCTTTTATACTTCCTATTAACCTTCGCCATATAACGATCTGACTGATTCCATAACTCAGTATCCTCCAATACAACCCTCCTCTCCAATGACTCCTTCAATTCCATATTTCCCCTAAATCTCAGTATTATTTCAACTTCTATTCCAAAACCCGGGGTTTTGGGGTTTTGGGGTTTTGGGGTTTTGGGGTTTTGGGGTTTTGGGG